TGTGGATCTGATTGACCAAGTGAGAAGTGGGGTTAGGCTGGAGGGCACAAACCAGGATGGACAGTATACCATTGTTTTCTGTCCCATCGTCTCCCGTGTTGGTTCAGATGTGGAGGCAGCCATGCAAAACATGCCATGTAAGTAAACAGGTAACATTTTTAGTTTTGGCTTGCTGAAAAACAAATCAGACAAAGCTAACCTGAGTTAATGCAAAAAAGTTCATTTTAAATGCTGATTTAATTTGCAAAGGGGAAAAAGCCAAACTAAGCTGAACCCATAAGGAAAAACTATGTACCTTACATGTAAAATCGCAAATTAACCAAAATTTCTTTTTACTTTTTAGTTCAGTTTTACTCATCACGCCTGGCCTGTTGTATCAAGAAATCACATATGCATATAAGCTAATAGAGCTCAGTAGCTCAATCGATCTAAAGAAATTTAAGAAGAAAATCACTGACATCCTTCCATCTGGAAAGGAATCTAAGGTTGGAGTGAGACAGAGACTCAACGTTAAGGTCAAATAACATAAACCTAAATAATTTTGACTAATTGAAGCTATTTACCTTCTTTCTTAAGTTATTATTCAATAAAAAAATATCCACATAAGACATTCTCATAAGGCAGCTGTAGGGTGACCTAATCTGAGGTGGTTTTATTTATTTGAGCCGAGTGATTGTCCAAACCTCATGTACAAAATGTTTTGCATTTTGAAAAAAAATCACAAATGTTTCTTTTCTACCAAGTTAATCTAACAGATTGTAGCAATACCTACAATAAAGATACAAGTGTGACATCAAATCAATGAATAGCAATGAATATCTATAAGATTATAGATCAAACCACAGAAAATGACTCTACGGACTTTCTCAGACACTGAAATCAGAAATACTCCAGCCCTCCAATTTCCCACATTTGGTATCAAAGTCCTGCTCATCAAAGCTCTGACAATCTACACAATAAGGATTACCACTGTCCTCTTCAGAAGCTGTAACTATAACAGCAGACTCTGTAATTTATTGTATCTATAAAATACTTACCTACCCTGGTTAAAGTACAATTTAGCAGACAGAGCTGACATGTTTTTGTGAACACTTTATCAAGGTTTGTAAAGGAAAGTCAAAGGAAATCTGTTGTTTTACATCACTGTAAAACAATTTAAGGTGGCATAACTTGAAAATGAAAGTAAATTCAACAGGAAGACTGTAGGTCAAATGTGCCTAAACCATATTTAGGTATATGTTGAATGAAATTCAATTGAATTCTTAAAATGTGCCTAAATTGTGTGTGCAGATTTCAAACTTGTTGGATTCGTTCAATAGGTTTTCTTTTGATTAAAAAAAGTTGAGTTGAGGTAGAATTTTTGAATCTTTGTATCTCTGGTAGCAATCTGTTAGACATTTCTACTGTGAAATATTTGCACTGAAACATCTCAGTGTGTTTATGCAGACTGAAGTAGTCGTATATAATTTTTTTCTGTCTCCGTACAGCCAATAAAAAAGTCGTCCTGGTCCTGATGCATCACACCAGAGATCCAGACTACTCCACCGCTGGGAGGAGCTGGTCAGAAGTTTATCGGAACGTCGACTTAGAAGTTCATGTCCTCTTCCATGAAAGTGTTCCTGGGTTACTAACCTGTTCTAAGAACGCAGATGCAGTGTATCAAATGCAAGAGTACTTCCAACAAAGCAGAATTAACTCTCAGCGTTGGCACATGATCCTTCTTGCATTGGTGATTGTTATTATTGCTGTCGTTCTATTTTCACTGTTGTTTTACTTTTTAGAGGTAAAAGAAAAACCAACAAACAGAACCAATTAAAAATCAGACAGTAATATTGTTCAGTGTTAATGTCTCTGAGTACATGTTTGTATAAATGTAAACATGTATGGAACAAGAAGGTTTGGGGTTCAATTCCTAGGGTTAGCATGTTAGCATGTTAGCATGTTCCTCTCCAGGTACCAAGACTTCCTTCTAAATCCAAAAAATCACAAATGTTCCATTAAACTGTGTTCATGTAATTTGTTCAGTCATTTCTGAGTTTTTCTGGTTTAAATGTGCAAACAAAGTTACATTTGAATCCCCAGTGTCTTTAATCTGTACAAGCTTTTCTCACTGATTTATATGGCTGCGTTGGATTGTGTTGATGTTTTTTTTTTTAAAAGTGCCTTCAGACATGAGTTGTGTATAAAAAACAGAAATGAATTAAAATGGACAGAATTGCAACAGATTTTAAGCCGTATAACAAACATCCACTTATAAATGTTTTGACTGATCAATAACAGGATTGTATTAATAAGTTGTCTAATATCATCTAGTTTTCAACTATCATTACTTTGGTGGCTGTGTTGCTGCTTTTATGTGATGCGTGTAGCTGTAGGTGTTTAAATATCAGTATATTCTGAGCTCTTGCCTACCTTGAATGAAGGTGAATTGTCTTCCGTTTCCTTGGTAAATAAAAGTGTAAAGAATAAAATGCATTTCTTTACTTTTTTTCAAAAATTGTATCATTGTGTCCAGAAGTTAAATTTTTTTTGACATTTCAAGCTCTAAAATTTGTTTTTCCAGAAAGTTTTTGGGGTAATCCAAAAATTGAATCGGCCCCCCCCCCCAGCCACCATGGCCTTTTTTCCCCTTTCTA